GAGGATTTAGGGGGGCATCGGGGGTTCCTCCCCCCCACCCACGTTCACGCATTAACACGAGACAACGAATAGGAAAAGCGCTAATATCAGCGATTCAACGAGCAATTCAAACCTCTATTTTAATATTGTTTCTCAGAATTTAGCGGTTATCCGATGCTTTGCAGTCTGAAGCACTAAAAAGATTTGCCGCAAACCGCTAAGGGCAGTGTACAGTGTTCCTACATAACCCTTCGTCCCTCGACTGGTGATTGTACCCCTCCCTTGTTAAGCCATTCCTGGATCCGCTAATGATCCCTGACTGCCTGCCCTTCCATTTCTCTTCCAAATTCCCACTTCCACACCGTTTCCTGCTGTTTATCTGAACATGCGCGTGCTCACTGTACCGCTACAATAACGTTTATCAAATTCTTCTCTGCAGTTTACCGAGCGTTCTCAGCCATGTAACTTAACACAAGGGCAATATAGTAGCAATACAAGAATAGTAAAATTGCGAGTATAAAAGGAGTGCAATGCGAATACAAGAGGAATCTGAATCGGAGCGAAGGAGAGGTCGAAGGACGCCGGCGCGGCTGAAGCAGAAAGGTGGCGTACGCCGTATGTTCGTGTGCGTGCGTGCATGCGCGTGTAGGCGTAAACTAACAGACTGAAAATTCAATCACACCACGCCGTGGCGTAGGCGCACTACTCACTCACACACTCTCTCATCCCAGTCAATGGCGCCTATTCTAGCCTTCTTGGGTATTTTTAGGCAATAAACTTTATTTTTGGACCAACATCTACGTCGGGAACGGACATATTCGAGCAGGTAGTAGCGAGTGAATTCTGCAGCTGCTATTGCTGGCAGCCAGTCACTGCCAGATCTAGAATAGCGCTAGCGGCAGATCTAGACCTAGCGCAAAGCCTGCGGAGAGCCGACACATGCAGACGCACACACGCACGCACGCACGCACCGATGCAAACGTACATACGCACTCCGCACACACTCGCACGCACATACGCACACAAACACACACGCGCGAACAAATGCACACACACACATACGTACACACTCACTCCGCACACACTCGCACGCACATACACACACAAACACACACGCGCGAACAAATGCACACACGCACACACTACGGACCCTCACGCATGTTCACACACAGGCACTTGGAGCGTTTCAATAAAATATAATCCTAAATAAATACGAAATCTATTTACTACCAAAGTCTTAATGTTTCTCTACTCTCTTTCACCTATTATTGCCGACAATTTCCTGTAAATGCCGTCCAAATGCTCATCTGCAACACACGCTGGCTGCCGCACGCTAGCTGCTGCACATTGACACACAAATATATAGATTTATATTTATTTAAAAATTTATTTATATTTACATTTATATACAAAAAAAATATGGATTTATATAAAAATAACTATATATTTATGTGTCAGTGTGCAGCAGCTAGGGTGCGGCAGCCAGCGTGTGTTGCAGATGAGCATTTGGACGGCATTTACAGGAAATTGTCGGCAATGGCAAGGTTCGGTGAAGGAGAGTAGAGAAACATGAAGACTTTGGTAGTAAATAGATTTCGAATTTATTTAGCATTATATTTTATTGAAACGCCCCAAGTCCCTGTGGGTACACATACCCGCACGCACGCACGGGTACAAACCCCACGCACGCACGTGCGCCATACATATATGTAAATGCACGCACGCACTGCTCTCATATTTTAACTATAGTCTGCTTGCGTGAACGACGAAGGAAGTGCCTGCTTGGTAACCAGGTTGCAGTGGCTTGTCAGGGAGAAAGAGCATAAACATCCTGAGCTAGCTAGCTAGCTGGGACGTACGCTTGTAGCATTGAATATACGTACTATAGAAGCTGTAACCTGTTTATTGCCTGTCAGATCGCATCACCTCTTACTGCAAGCACCGCACCGAGTTCATTTCTCTCTCTCTCTCTCGCTCTCTCTCTCATCGTTCTCTCTCTCTCTCTCTCTCTCTCTCTCTCTCTCGGCCTCTCTCTCTCTCTCTCTCTCTCTCTCTCTCTCTCTCTCTCTCTCTCTCTCTCTCTCTCTCTCTCTCTCTCACTCTCCTCTCTCTGTCTCTGTCGCTGTCTCTGTCTCTGTCTCTGCCTACCTGCCTGTCTGCCTGCCTGCCTGTCTGCCTGTCTGCCTGTCCATCCGTCTGTCCGCCAGTCTATCTGTCTGTGTCTGCCTGTCTCTCTTTCCCCCTATTCCGATTTTTCTCTCGCGTGCGCGAACGTGTACTTGCGTGGGTGCGGATGTGCGTGCGCGTGGGCGCAGTAAAATACAGCATTTCATAAGAAATTCACGACGACAAAATCTCTCGGTTTCGGCGCACGAGTTGCATGAGTATATTTGCACGTGCAAGATATTGGCACAAAACATCGCTGCAACCGTGCAAGCTCGTGCAACATTCTGCACGCGCGCAACCATCAGCATATGCAACTCGCGCCCGCATGCACAGCGGGAATTTAAGAGGGAAAAAATTCATCGACTAATCATTATGGCCAACCAACGCCCGCCTGGTCGCCGGAGAGAGAATTTCCCTTATTCTCGCGTGGAGAGGAAACCTCCTGGATCCAGCTGCGCGTGACCGCAGCGTGACCTTTATCTCTCACAGCTTCCCTCAGCATCCTCCTTGGTTGGCGGCAGCGAGGAAGGGGGGGGGGATTACGAGAATAATAGAAAACGAAGGAGGATGCGGGAGAAGATGTGGAGGAAGAGGAATAGGAGGAAGAAGAGGCGGATGCAGAAGAGAAGCAGCAGCAGCAGGAACGTTAATTAAATCTCGTTATCCGCACAGGTAACCGCAGGTGCGGTGACCGCACGCTGGGGGCAAGGCAGTTGTGTGATTAGCAGAGGCCACGAAACCCCAGGCGAAGCGTAACCGTATAGCCTGATAGAAGCAGTGAAATGAAGTAGGTGTATACTGATCGGCTTTACAAGGAAAGGCAATGCAGAGGGCGAGATGGATTAACAAAAGGGGTGCCATCGGGAGGCGGTGGAATTATCAGCTTTACGAAACCACGGGCGAGACGGCATTGACTGATGAACAAACGAGATACCGTTGAAAAAATAAAAGATGTATCGATGTTCGCATGAACATCGCTCGGAGTGCCGAGGAAGAACGGTGCTGCTGCGATGGCTTCATACGAGCGAATTAAGGCTGCGCAAGCAAATGATAGATACTGCTAGGACGGTTCAGCAAGTGACGCACAAAGAAGGAAATGATGACGAAGATGATGGTCATCGTGTAACTAACGAAAGCGAAAGCGAAAACGAAGAAGAAGAAGAAGAAGAAGAACTGCAATGAAGAACCGCAATGAAGAAGAAGAAGAAGAAGAAGAAGAAGAAGAAGAAGAAGAAGAAGAAAAAGAAGAAGAAGAAGAAGACGGAGAAGAAGAAGAAGAAGAAGAAGAAGAAGAAGAAGAAGAAGAAGAAGAAGAAAAAGAAGAAGAACGATGCTACGACGATGACGATCATGAAGATGATGCGCAACCATGAACATGGGTTGCATGTTGGTTATAACCAGCATTTCTGCGTGACCAGCGAGCCGGTTTAACTATAATTTTGTCGAGTCTTCCGCGCTTGCACCCCCCAACATGGCGCCTTGTTAATTCAATATTTCTTCTTCGTCTCCTCTTCATTTTCTTCGTCTGCTGCTACTGCTGCCGCCACCGCCGCTATGAGATAGAGCGATACCGTATAAACGCGTTCGGGCGCCGCAGTGATGTTCGCATGCCGTCGTGTGCGTCATCTCCTCTGCGCGCGCACACGCGAGGTCCAGAAGCCCCAGAACGGAGTGGGAGTAGTGATAACGATATAGTATTGTGATGAGACGAGGGCGTGGAGAAGGTGCCGATGTACTCTTACAGCAACCGCGAATGGCTCTGCACAACGCACGGCAAAGGGCAACTACGGTTGACATCTAGATATATAGGAGTGGGAGTGTGGAAGTGGAGGGAATCTGGGCTGGGAGGTGGAACGATGCTCGACTATGAAACTCGTGCGCAGCGGAGAAACGCGGGTCGGGAGAAGCCGAGGAAGGTATATGCTCGGAGTGGTGGAGCTGACAGGTAAACAGGATGTACGTAACGGTCTCCCGCTGTGGTGCCTGCCACAGCCGGCCTGATTAATAGAAAGAATGCGAGAGGGGAAGGGAGGAGACGGAAGTAAGGAGTGAAAAACAGATAGAGAGATAGATAGATAAACAGATAGAAAGATAGATAGAGATAGATAGATAGATAGATAGATAGATAGATAGATAGATAGATAGATAGATAGATAGATAGATAGATAGATAGATAGATAGATAGATAGATAGATAGATAGATAGATAGATAGATAGATAGATAGACGGATGAATAGCTAGATAGATATCTAGATAGATAGATAAATAAATAGAGATAAAGAGAGAATGCAAGAGAGAGAGAGAGAGAGAGAGAGAGAGGGGGGGGAGACAGACACAAGGGAGGGAGAGTGTGTGCGAGAGAGAGAGAGAGCGAGATACAGAAAGAGAGCAAGCGACCAAGTGAGAGACAAAAACGACGAGAGAGAGAGAGAGAGAGAGAGAGAGAGAGAGAGAAAGAGAGACGGAACGCCATGGAACCGAGCGCGTTCACTTTAATCCGTGATGAAGCCTGTCACGATGAACAGCCGCTCACGAGCAACAAACAGCCTTACATTAGCGCCGAGACACATTAGGTAACGCTACACCTGTCGGCGGCGAGTGTGTGTGAGAGCGGCTGCAAGGTCAGATAACGAGACTTCGCTCATTGGGTGTCTGTTTACGCACAGGTGACACCCACATGGAGAAAAAAATAACACGTTTGATCACCACCATGACTCCACCGCTCACGCAAGAAAAGCAGGCGTCGCTGTCGGCTAGCGCCAGTATAGGCGTACAATACGTTACTAACACCGGGGAAACTATGTACTACGCGCACGCAGCAAGGGAAGGCAAGTGCACGTATAAGCCGCACGCACCTCAATGATGTCGCTGTTAGTCCGACTCTCGTGTGGTTCGCTGTACTCGGTGTACTTGAGCAGGATCTTGTCCATGTCGGTGCTGGCGTACTGGAACAGCTTGTTCGTCGAGTTGAAAATGATGAGCGCGATCTCGCAGTCGCACAGCACGCTCAGCTCGTAGGCCTTCTTCATCAGACCGAACTTTCTCTTCGTGAATGTCACCTGAAAGACACGAGCAGGTGGTGTTGAGCCACAAGGCGGTTACCATACAGCACGCACGCACAGAGAAAGAGAGAGAACACGTACGCACTCGTACTCACACAGAGAATGCCGTCGGCTGTATAATCGTGTTTTGCCCATCACGTTACCTACACGCTACACCACACGCACGCATGCACGCACGCACGCACACCGCGGGCAGTTCCTCTGGGGGCGTGAAGAATCTTGCAATAACTCATTAGTGCGGCGCAGCAGCGCAGGAGGTCTTGTTGATGCCGACCACCGATGTGTGTCAAGTATGCATCGCCAGAGAGAAATCATAGAGAGATCCGCATTTCGAAATGTCCTTCTTTACGTGTAATCAATTTACCGTAGCGAAGACCACAGCTGACTGCCACACACAACGACACTGTAGTACATCCTTACATATCACAAGGCGTAGTATAGACTACAGCCGATTGCCGGTAACTGCATTACACTACAGTTGCTACGGATTATCACTACGATATGATATACTACACTATACGTTATCAATATACGTACAGTGGGGTTACGTATGTTATCCAGCGCGTTTCGACCGGTGTAAAGCTCCAATTAGGAACGTCTGTATCTGCATAACCCGGGGACTTCCTGTTTATATCCAATAATATCGATAGTTAGTATTAGATTCGCGTTTCTTCTGTTTCTTCTTCGTCTATATGATGTACTCTGTGTGCATAGACTTGCATCCCCGCAGAGTATTATCATACTCTGAGAGGAATAGCTAACTCTATAAGAAGGCACTTGCATCCCTGCAGAGTATTATCGTACTCAGGGAGAAGTAGCTGACTCTATGTACAAAGACTTCCATCCCTGCAGAGTATTATCGTATTCTGGGAGAAGTAGCCGACTATGTGTGAAGAGAGCGGAATCCCCGCAGAGTATTATCGTTTGCTTGTATAGCCGACCTAATGTGCGGAGAATTGCGTCACTGCAGAGCATTATCGTACTCTGATGTCTAAATGTAGATTACTGCTTCACGCACGACATTTTGGTGGTACGCCGATGTTATTTTTTTAATATATACAATGTGTAGTTTTTAAGTTACGCGATATTATGTTATTTTTTATTTTTACGAAAGTAAAGTGCTGGAGGGTAATTGGTAAAGGTCCATCCGTACGACAACATTCTCTATCACTTAAAATGCTTCTTAAACACATATTAACTCGTGCTGTTCAATTAGAAACTATTTTAATGTGACCGTGAATGGGAAACAGAATACTTACCATGCTGAGCCAGTGGTGGCATAGGAATAAAGCTAGCAGGGGCCAGTGGGAGGGGGAAGGGGTAAAGCTATCAGGAGCCAGTGGGAGGTGTAAAGGGTAAATATATCAAGAGCCAGTCGGATGGGGAAGGGGTAAAGCTATTAGAAGCCAGTGGGATGGGGAAGGGGTAAAGCTATCAGGGGCCAGTGGGAGGGGGAAGGGGTAAAGCTATCAGGAGCCAGTGGGAGGTATAAAGGGTAAAGCTATCAGAAGCCAGTGGGAGGGGGAAAGGGTAAAGCTATCAGGAGCCAGTCGGAGGTGTAAAGGGTAAAGCTATCAGGAGCCAGTCGGAGGGGGAAGGGGTAAAGCTATCAGGAGCCAGTGGGATGGGGAAGGGGTAAAGCTAGCAGGAGCCAGTGGGAGGGAAATGGATAAAGTTAGCAGGACCCAGTGGGAGGAGACGGGTTGAAGATAGCAGGGGCTAGCGGGACAGGGAAAGGATGAAGTTAGCAAGGGCTAGTTGGAGGGGGGGAGGGTTAAAGCGAAGAGGAACCAGTAGAAAAGGAAAAGGTTCAAACTAGCAGGGGCTAGTGGGAGGGGGGAGAAGGGTGAAGCAAAAAGGGAGTAGTGGGAGGGAAGACTAGTGAAGGGGCAAGCATGCACGCGCGCACGCACGCACGCACGCACGCGCATACACGTAAATACATATAATTAATGTAAGATAGCTTCTCAGATAAAATTCCTGATCATGCGATTAGACGCCGCATCAATTCCGCAACCAAAAATTCCAAGTGTGAACTAACTATCCAATAACTATCAAATAATAACCATCAAATAAGAAAAACGTAACTATGCTAAAAAATACTATTAAACGACTGCTGAATAAAAACTAGAAGATAACTGTCAAATAACAATCGAACCTATCGAATATCAATTAGCGAACAACAACTCGAACCGTTGTAACTTGATTACCACTCTTGATTATCATTCATGATCAGTTATCTACTTCACGCACGTCATTTTCCCGTTCATTTTCAAGAAACTGCCAAATGCAAACGTTAAAAACGTTGCAAAAACAAAGAAGGGTGCACGGATCCACGAGTTTCACGTTTCTTATAACTATCTTACAAAAAGGGAAAACACCCCCCGCACGCGTCATACTCAGTGAATATATTCCGCATTGAGACAGCGAGCGTATAAAGAAAACTTCTCGACGCCAGAACACTCGCAACAAATGTTTTTTTTATCACATTTACGACTCGACTGGCACGTGACCCGACAATTTGCGACTCAAAACGAGAACAAACAGAGCGGCCGGATCGTCTGCAAATACATGGCAGCAGCAGCAGCACCACCACCACCCCCCGTACCACCACCGCCGCCACCACCACCACTCGCAACAGCAGCAGCAGCAGTAACACCACTACCACCACCACCACCAGCAGCAGCAGCAGCAGCAGCAGCAGCAGCAGCAGCAGCAGCAGCAAAAACAACAACAACAGTAATAGCCTCAATAACATCATCGTCATCTTCATCATCATCATCATCATCATCATCATCATCATCATCATCAGCATCATCATCCTCATCATCATCATCATCATCATCATCATCATCTTCATTATCATCATCAACATGTTGCTCCTCATCTCTATAGATAATTATAAATGGACATTTCATTCGCACCTGTCACGGTCACGAACAAAGGCATCGGCACAATCTTTTGTCTGTCACGATCAAGTGTGATCTGTTGTGAACAATGAGGGAAGCCACAAAGCGCCCCTGGATTTATTACGATGTTATTCCTTTATATTCCTAGTTTACAATATATGCGCGCGTTACCTCTCTTCCCCTTTCTCTTTCTCTTTCTCCCCTCTCTCTCTCTCTCTCTCTCTCTCTCTCTCTCTCTCTCTCTCTCTCTCTATATAATACTATATATCCCTCGCACTCTTTCCCTGTGCTCCTCCACATTCTCTGCGTCTCTTTCTCTTCCCCTTCCCCCTCTCTCTTCGTCCCTTTCCTCCTCCTCCCCCCTCTCTCTCTCGCTCTCTCTCTCTGTCCCTTTCCTCCTCCCCCCTCTCTCTCCCGTTCTCTCTCTCTCTCGTGTTTGAATACGCGTACGTTGAGTGTGTGCTGATTGACTCAGACGTAGTGATGACGTAACGCCGAGCCGTATTTTTGCGATCGACAGATGATTTAGTTAATGGGGCGAGTTTGAAAAGTGTTTCTCTTCTTTTGCATAGACCATTAGTTATAATTGAATGTTGCATGGAGAGTGGAATGGATTTCTTGAAAAGGTCCCGCACCTTTGGTCGGCCGCGACCGCATGCAACGACAATAGCTTTCATCTAGAGCAGATTTCCGTGCGTTATATTAAACAGTAGCGTGTGACACTTTGCGTGACACCGTGTACGACGATGAATGCATGACACCGTGAGAAGCGGAGGCCTGGACCGCCTCCATTGGACACAAATCCATTGCATTACCCCGCGTGTGTTCGGCGAGCTTATCACTACCGATGATCAGCTATAGAATTAACGACGATCGCACCTTTCCCTGCGTTAGGTTGCGCTCACACTACGGCTGGAACGTCGATGTTGTTTATCAGAGTAGCTGGTATGACCAGCCCTACTGCGTATGATTCCCCGGGGCGCACGTACACCTGCTGTACATGTGCGCACACACGCGCACGCACTCACGCACGTACGTTACTCAGCCAATAAAGCGCTGATTACAGCTTCCGAAGCCGTATTTTCTCCGCGCGACGCGCGAGGGCAGCAGATTATTGGCATCAATCCGCTGTGAGACCCTGAATTAAATCTCAATCAAGAATTTCATATAGCCATCACCCGAGAAAGAAATCTAGATTCTGCGAGCTATGTGCGAGCGTAAATTAAACTCCACTGCAAAAAAAGAGGAAAAGGAAAATATTCCGTCGGTGTGCACACATACGCCTCATGTCGCGTCGAAGCAGGATGAAAAATAATCTCATCTTTTAAATAGCACTTAAAATCGGCAGTGAGCGGCAAAATACGCGAAACAAGCTTATCTTCCGACTTTCACCATTCCGTCGCTAAAAGGCGTTTCGCACATCGCACTGCGTTACGCCCAATCTTGCAATATTATTTATCGTATTAGCAAACATTTGAATACATCACAGTATTATTTACCTTCGCGAAGAGAGTCAACGTAGGACGGACAAACATATTTTATATTGTGAGTAGCCACTGCCTCAGTTGTCTCGTTTAATGAAAATAGGGAGAGGGGGAATTCCGAAAGAAGGGAAATGACCTAAGGTAATGATCAATTTGTTTAATGGACTTTCTCTGTATACGTCGAACTCCGCGTGTACGTCACCGTACGTAAATCATGTCTTTTTGCTACTATATAAATGATTATTCGGAATAATAAAATTACGAATGAATATTTAAAGATGAATTCATATTCATGTGAAATGCCAACGCGTTGTGCATTTGGAATTATTTATCAATTATTAAGACGTTGACCGGCTGGTGCATTCAGACCACGTCACTATACTGCTGCAACCGGGACACCACGACGTTAATGTATTATAAAACCATATAGGAGGCACAGTGGCGAACCGCCGTTGTCAACTTTAACATCGCCGTTGTGAAAATGTTCCTGTATTTACTGATAAGTGTATCCTGTATCTATATACCTATAAGTATATCAATACATCCTGTATTTGAATCCATAATGCGCGTTTTCCCCAAACTAGCCATTACCTCCTTTGTCTAA